GAGAGTAATTATACTCCCAAAAGTCCAAATATTCATTTTCTGTGTTTCTTTATCCTGAGAAATTTCCTTTATTTAGGTTTTGAATACAAACAATTTTTAAGCTTTCATTGATCACACAAACTATGACAGTCGTCACAAGATTTATTTGCCTTTAATGCCCTTTCTTAAGAGTAAAGAAAACTACATGTGTTGTGGGAGGAGGGGGGGGGGGGCTGATGAATTGTTCAATTTTTTACTTAGCATGTTAGATCCAAAATTAAGGGAATACTTGAATCCCACAAAAGAACTAGAACAAATTTAAATTGCTATTATCGTGTTTAAGTGAAACCAGTGAAAGAAAATCACTGATATTTTAGATTAAATCAAACTAAACAATTGCAGGGCAAATGGCTATTGAGAGAACATTTGTACATTACTCTGAACCAATAATATTAACCCAATTTTGGAAGAATAGAGGTTAGTGAGAAAGGACAACATCAGGAACTAAAGATATATGTAACTCTTTGGCAAAACTGAGAGGGGATCTAACTCAGGCAAATCAGAAATTGGTAAAATTGAAAATCAGGTTTCAGAAGCAGACAAAAAGGTTGGAAAAAATTCCTCTGGAAATTTTACATAAAGATCTCAAGGAAGTTGATAGGATCTACCAACAGGATTGCTATGAAGCTAGTCAGAAAAATCTACATGGAGAAGTGGTGATTAGTTTCATAAGATGGCTGGACTCTTTATCCGTTAACTGTAAGACGATGGATATATATCAGAGGAGAAGCAAAGACCAAATTAACAGAGAACAGCAGGATGAAATGGATGGGAAACAGAAGTGAAAGAATGATGAGAACGGCTGACAAAGATTTGTGACTAAATTAAATGGACAAATTGACTAAGCTGATGGGAGGAAAAATATTTGTCTAACTTCAAGAGAGATTGAGATTCACTAATTAATATGTTGTAATAATAGCGATTTTCATCAGTTGTGGAATTTATGAACTAGCAGAATGTTATTAAATGTAGACATATGATTATATAACATTAGTAGCCATCCCCTGTCACGCACTGCTGTGGCCCAGTCTGTGTATACATGTTTTGTGTGTGTATGTATGTGTGTATGTGTATATAAGTGTTTTTGCGCTTGTGTTGTAATGTAATTTTTTTTCTTTTTAAGACTCTTTCACTGTGTTTTTCAGTGTTTTTATGGCCTGATAGGTGTATTGTGTCCGAATTTGGTGTCAATTCGTCCAATGGTTTTTGAGTTATGTTAATCCCACAAACAAACGTTACATTTTTATTTATTTTATTTATATAGATATAACAGACATATATATATATATATATAGAGAGAGAGAGAGAGAGTGGATTATGTGGATTAGTCTGTGTTAGTCAGATCTGTGTTTTTTTTGTGTGTTTATGTGTTTTTATTTTGTTGTAGTAGATATTTAGCAGTACTGTAATAGTATTAGTTAGGCAGTACATGAGTAGTTTTTAAAAAACACATATGTACCCTTATAATTTCTCTGTTCATTCACTTATTGCTACATTATGATATTCTTTAAAAGTTATTATTTTAAAAAATCATCCTTTGACTAAACTCTTCTGGACATGCTGTCTAACTACCAGGGAGTTCAGTCATATAAAGGTTATAAATTTCAACAGACTCACCATCAGTTCTGCATTTGGAAATGTTAATTCAATACATGCAAAAAGAAACCTATGTTTGTTGATAAATATTTACTACAGGTCAATAAATAGGATATTTTGAGTTTGAGGACCTTTGGGGAATGAATAGTATGATGAATAAACTCTATTTTTCCTGACCAGTGATTCATAACTTTTACGTCTGTGTTGGCTATATCTTGCATCATATTTTTGATGACTCATCTCATGCATCTGTAGCTATAATTTGGTTATTCCCAGCAATAGTTTGCTTTTAGGGAAGGACCATCAGTTAAATTAGTTTTGTTTACAAGTAATCCTTGGTTTTTCAGATATATATATGTGCTCTTTGTACATGTACATACTATTTGCACACTTCTTGGAAACCTAACATTTGATAGATGGAAATGAATTCTGCATGTCTTTTTTTGGATAAAATACTTGTGCTTCATATTGTACACAGTGCCATCCTAACTCAAGAGCACATTGGGCAGTGGCCTAGGGATCCTGTGAGCACAGGGGGGCCCTGCTAATTTATGCACAGACCAGAATTTAGCACTAATTTTCTGATCACCTGCCTCAACATTCAAATCTCCCACTAACTTGGTAGAAAGAGAAGAATCACTTGTAGCAGGGAGCTGGCATGTCTTCATTTGTAAAATAAATTAAACGTTTTTATTGCTTGCGATGTTATGAAAACAGAATATTGTAATGGATTCGCAGGAGGCAATTAATGACTGGAGACAACAATTGCTGACAGTGTGCATTCCAGTGTCGGAAGCAGAGTCTCTGCTGTTTCCTATTTTTATGGTGAAAGGTTAGCAGTATAAGGAAGTGAAGTGAGGAAAAAGAAACTGTAGACCTATTATGTGGTACAGTAGAATTTTGCTTATCCAAGTTTCATTCATCCAACGTTTTGTATTATTTATTTATTTATTTGCTTATTTGCTTATTTTTGCAGTATTTGTATACTGCCCTTTTCAACCCCGAAGGGGACTCAGGGAGGTTCACAGTGTTGGCAACAATTATCTAACACAGTCTGCCTACCGCCCGAATCCACAGCTGTTTCAATACATTGCAATGTTTTGGTCCTAAATTTGTAAACAGAGTAATTACTCCATAACATTACTTTGTATTGAACTGTTTTATCTGTTGATTTGTTGTAAAACATGATGTTTTGGTGCTTAATTTGTAAAATCATAACTTAACGCGACAATTAATAGGCTGAATTCAGCTTTTGACATTTCAATATTCTGCTTCTGTTGTATAGAAATGATTTAGCAAAGGCATTTTTTCTGCTTCTGTCTCATATTAGGATGTGAAAACACTAGACACCTTTGATTAAGGAAGTCCTATGATCTTGTAAGGTAGATCACTGTTCCTTAAACTGTGGGTCTTGATCCCAAACGTGGTCTCTATGGCTTAATGTTGGAGTCACAAAAATTGGCTACAGTTAAAGGATTCTGAAGTTTAGTCATTTACACAAATCTGTTAGCATTAATATGCAATGTTTACAGTGGACTCTGCAAAAAATGTTATAACTGTACTCCACAAAAAGGAAAATCAGTTCATTGTCGAAGGCTTTCATGGCTGGAATCACTGGGTTGCTTGTCATAGATGCAGGCAAAACGTCAGGAGGGAATGCTTCTAGAACATGGCCATATAGCCCAAAAAACCTACAACAAAATCAGTTTGTTTAGCAAGTTTTGCAAATGCTGATTTATTATATCTAAATATTCAGTTTTTATACCTGTTTTATAGGGAAACAAAGACTAGGAATATGTTTAAGACATGGTGTGCTTTTACAATTCCTATATCCCTGGGGTCATGTAACATATTTTTGGGCTGAAAGAGGTCCTGAGTGGAAAAGGTGTAAGAAGTCCTAAGTTAGATTATTGATCTGTTAGCAGCAAAAGCATTCAGTGATTCCAGGACAATGTTATCTTGAGGTCTCTGATGGTCTCCCATGCAATTACTAACCAGGCCTGCCCCTGCCTAACTTCCATAATCAAATGAATCAAGTATGTTCAAGGTGGGAAGATAGTGAGATTTCTTATGTTTTAGAATAAAGTTGAAATATAAAATGTTAGCTTCATTGTATCCTAGCAGTCTATCAGAGAAATTTGAAAACTGCCATGGAATACTGTTGTTGTGTTTGTGAGGTGTTCTATCCAAGAACATGGAATGGAGGAAATGCTATGTCTTTTATGCACAAGGGAATTATATAAGAACAGGGAAGCTGTATTAAGCTAAAGAATAAGCATATAGAATTCATGGCAGGTTTGATTGGCTTTTAAAATACTAAATGATGTAGAATAGCTAAAATTCTTGTTACAAAACACAGGAAGCATCAATAAATATTGACTGGGATTGTGCTTGGTAGCTAATTAAATAAATAGTTAAGAGGCTCTGCATACCAAAACTGAGATCTTTTCTGTGGCCCCCAATATGGCAGAAAGCTAGTTTGAAAAATAATCCCACATATTGCAAACATTTGAATCTACCACTTAATAGCATTTGTATGGTTCAAGAAAAACAAAACCTGAATTTATTGCATATACTTGTTGCATGTTAGAACCTAGTGGATTGTGTAGATGTTGTGTAGTCTGGCATAGCAATGTAGAATCTAACATGTTCCTCCTGAATGTGGTCTTGTCTGCCAGGACCCTGAAACCCACAGCCAGACTCTATTTTGGCCTTTTTGCAAACAACTCTCTTTTAAAAACAAAAACAAAATGTGTTAGTAATGAAAAGGCAAAGAATGATCACTTTCAGGCTTTCAAAAATGCTTCTGGAGGGATTGTGGCATATGGGAGGTGGGTGGGGAGGAGACCAAACTGTTTGGAGTCATTTTGGCTGGTTTGGGGGCAAACCTGAAAAAGGACAATGAGATATCTTTTGGGTTTGGAAGACTTTAGGGATCATGGGAGTGGCAGCGTGGACTGAGTAAAGGTGCACCTGAGAAATGGATAGCTAGTCATGGGCCAGACTTTCATATTAATGTAAATCTTCTTAAAATAGACACTAGCCAGCAGGCATCACATGTCCTGTGTGATTTTAGTTTCAAGACTCAAACCTTCCCTGATCTCACCTTACATGGTAAAATGGAGGTTTCAAATTAGATCGTGATTCCCAAACTCTAGTCCTCTGTGTGTTTTGGACCTCAACTCCCAGAAGCTAATGATCGGTGGTGTCCTGGGAACTGAAGTCCAAAACACCTAAAAATCAGAGTTTGGGAAACACTGAAGCTAAAGAACTTCTAATATTACTTGACAGTGAATATTTGTTGGAATTATTTCAAAACTTTACTTCAGTAAATAAAATTCAATTTTCCTCCTTTACATGTCAAGAATCTCCATCATCAGGTGATGACGAAGATGAGGATGAAGATGATGAGGAATCTGAAGATGGAAGTAAGTATCTGCAAGTTCAGTTGCAGATTTGGCAAAGGACTGGCTTGCATGTTTTAATAGTATCCAGTACTGAGCCCAAACTTCTTAATCGTTCACATTTCCTGTGTTCTACACATGAGTGTTTTCTTAGTGTGGGACAAAATGCCCTTCCGCTTTTCTTCCGACTATTTTTACTGCTGTTTGTAAATACACCTGACAGGAACTGGCCTAGAAAGTAAACAGGAGCAATGTTGTTTGCTGATAACATAGATTTCCAGTACTATTCCAAAGGAAGAAATTTCAGTCTCCTCTGAATAAAGCCCCTCTGTTGAGCATCACACTTCTGCTGTGTTGCATTAACTGAAAGCCAGTATGGAACATTCCTCATACCCAATATCATTGGCTAGACAAAAACTAAACAAAAAACACTGTAGTTATAAAAACCAATACATTAGTTGTAACACATCTTCTTTCAGCACATTGCCTCATTTTTCTTGCCTATAGGAATACCTTTTGAATGACAAGCTGCTAGGAACATTTGGGAACATTATTTAAAAGGGCACAGGTGGCAAATCTGTAGAATGACCCACACTGTAGGTGGACCTCTGTATACATTCCGCAGTCCAAAAGTGCATTTCGAAACTAAAATGTTCCATTGTGTTACATGAAAACTAGAATGGCACAGCATCCTTGCCAAAATATGTTCTGAGCCTTCCCCCATAGAAAAAGGCGGGACCCCCGATAATTCCCTAGGAGGCATGGTGGCTAACAACAACAACCACAAACAACAAAACTTTATTACTGTCCGTGACCACCACAAAGTGCATGGTGGTTAAAAAGATTCCTGCTTTTAAAATCCCCTGAAACATCACAAGAAGAATATGCACCAATATGGGCATGTTCTTCCTGTGTGAATGATTTAGCTTGATATGTCTGAATTAGGCTGGACACAGAAATGCAAGTGGCTGTCATAGTGCTAGTAAAGACAGTGTTTCTGGATTAGTTAACCCCTGTCCTCCAATTTATCTTCAAACTATTTAATCACCTCTGACCTTGCCACAGAGAAAATAATTAATTAGGCTCATGTCAAGACCCTTTTACTGAAATATTAATTTTGGAGAGTTTCACTAACATTTTACCCAATTCCACTGAACAGTGCAGGACCAGGTGAATTTGTTTTTGTGTTCTTAACATTAAATGATGGGGGAAAAATACCTGTCTATATACCTGTCTATATAACTTGGGCTGCAAGATCACTTTTCTGTCAACATTCCCAAAAAAAGCTAGAAGTGCCTGACTTTTAAAAGCTGATTTTAAAAAAAGTGTTGGGCACAGTGACCTACCATATTTAAAAGATAAATTGTTGTCAGGTAATTTATTCCCTCTCCTTTTGGCAGGAAAAAAAAGGAAGTTCTTGTCAAATCTCAGCCTGAGGGAGGCATCCTGGGTGTTATGCTCAGCTGCAGGGCCATACTTGGCCCACCTGTAATGCAAAGATAATTACTGGAATTTACCTGCTATACCCATTTACCAATTCCACAGAAGACATTACATTCACGTTTGTGTTCCTGCAATTACTGTTTTGTGTCTACAGTTGCCCCGTACTGGACCCGCCGTGAAAAAATGGAAAGGAAATTACTAGCTGTACCTGCTGCAAATACCATTCGGTTTCGTTGCCCAGCTGCCGGTAATCCAGCACCTTCAATATATTGGCTGAAAAATGGCAAGGAATTCAGAGGAGAACACCGTATTGGGGGCATCAAAGTAAGACATCAGTAGGCTGATCTTTGGTTTGTTTATCAATGTCGATCTGGTTAATTTCCAATGTTGGTACATCTGAGCTTTTGTTCACTAAGCATTGGTTATAAGATTCATCATATTGAACCAACTTAGGAGCCCCCAGTGGCGCAATGGGTTAAACCCTTGTGTAGTTCCTTGCCAATGTACTTTGAGGCAAGTTTTAATCTGCATCTTCTCAGGGATTTTCCACTCTCCAGTTCTCCCAGCAGATATCCTTTCCACATCCTGCATTAGGAAGTCAGTATTTCCCATCTCAAAGTGCCATATTGGGGTTTTTTTTTCTAATAATACTTTTCTAGGAAAGGTATTATTTCCAATCTTAGGGTGCTGGAAAATTGTTTTTTATAGTGGTGGGCTCTCAAGCAGTTACAGTAATGGGAAAATAACAGTAGATGAGGAAAACTCTAATTTTCTCTATGTTTCACATTATTCTGACCAAAGAAGACCAATTTCTATTTCTTCTTTATTTCTACAGCTCCGGCATCAACAGTGGAGTCTCGTCATGGAGAGTGTAGTCCCATCAGATCGCGGCAACTACACCTGTGTAGTGCGCAATAAATATGGCGTCATTTGGCATACTTACCAGCTCGATGTTCTTGGTAAATGCTTCAGCTTGCTTGCATCAGATAGTTTGTAGTGCTTGATTGTGTTTGGCGTTCATACCTCATGTTCTGGAGTGGAAGATACTCTGAATCAGAAGATTGCCTTCTGCCTAGGAGTGGCAAATGTGGCCACGGCTAGGCTTCATCACCCTGCCCCCTGTTGCAGAATAAAATGCTGCAGCATAGCCTGATCAGAGTATTGTGTGCCAATGAACTCTTTCCCCCAACATTGTTCACCTACTAACGGTTTTAAGAGTAAGTTTTATCTAAAAACATTTCTTGAATATTTCCTGAAAGACCACTACATCTACAGAGCAGCTTCCTAATTGCCAGGAAAGAGCAGTTTCATTATTCCTTTCTTCTTTTTTCTTCTTTTCCTATAGAAAGGTCACCTCACCGCCCTATTCTTCAAGCAGGATTGCCTGCTAACCAGACAGTAGTGATAGGAAGTGATGTTGAATTCCATTGCAAAGTGTACAGTGATGCCCAGCCTCACATCCAGTGGTTGAAACATGTGGAAGTCAATGGAAGCAAATATGGACCGGATGGAACTCCTTACGTCACTGTACTAAAGGTTTGTAGACAGCTGTGTTGTCTTGTAAGGCTGCTGAGTACCAAAGGTGGAACTTCCATATTATTAAGGGCTCATGATAGCTATTCATATTTTGAGATCTTCTGACTTTTTGACCATTCATATTAACTGCCATGGAATAATGCTGAGGAATTCTGGGAGTTGTAGTTTGGTAAAACAATAGCACATTTTGACAGAGAAGACCCAATACCTTGTGAAATGTAAAAGTTAGATTATTTGGCTCCTGTGATTTCATAACATTTCATATCCATGCCAGTTAAAGTGGTGTCAAACTGTACTAATTCTACAGTGTAGATGCACTCTAAAATGGGGAGGAAAGAATATTCACTGCTATTCATTTCTTGGGCAAAAAAAAAAGTTGGAAAACCTATTCGGGAAGAATATAATGGTGAGAATTTTCGCCTGGGTATTCACACATGCCGAAATGTTTCTGGAGATTATTTGGCACAAAAATATTAAATATTAACTTCCATACATTAAAACACATACTTAAAATAGAGCAACATATGTATTAAGTCATTTCCCCTATTTATTTAGCAATTGTTTTTGAGAAGATAAAACTTACAAGCTGATGTAAATAAATTACCGTGTAGTTGTAAGTTTTCATTTGCATAAGCAGTTGTGTGTGTGCAAAACGCATCTTCACTCACAACCTTTGAATTGTCCACATTTTGCTGTGTTACGACTCAGAATTGAACTGGATTAAATTAGCTTTGTTAGTGCTTGATATACAAAAGATATTCAACAATATGAAAGTGTCCAATGGCCACAGAATGACTGCATCTCACAAAGACAAGACAAGGTTGATGTCCTAGAACAGGAAGAAAATGTGTTCAATGAATTGTTATCAGTGGCTGAACTTTGCACTAGAAGGAGATCTGAAGTGTTCTGGGGATGTTACTCTTCAGCATTATCAATACAACTTAAGGGATGGAGGTCAAAAGAATCTTTGTCAAGTTTTCCAATGATAAGAATTGGAGCAGCTGCTAACATTTTGAAAGATAGGAAAATAATTCAAAAGGACCTTGATAAAGTATCAATCAAAACTTTATTACAGTCCAAAGACTCAGTTTGCTCAGCAGTAAAAGGTGCACAACTGCAAACAGATTCATTAACTGATAAGACCAATGAAGTAGAATGTTGGACAAAAGTAATAAAATCAAATTCAGCAGAAACAAATGAAACAGTATCCATGTTGAATATCTTCTGAACATCAAGCAGTAAAATCGTTATTAAATCTATTTCAGTGCCAGCTGCTAATAAAGAAAAAGTGTGGAATTCAAAAGGGTGGACTGAGTGCTTTCAGCAGTACTAGGTGCTGTAGGGACTCACCTTTCCCCAAACTCACTTTTCAGCCTGTTCATTCATTTGTGGCCTTCATTCTGGATGTGAAGGATGATAATAAACTTACCTCACAGTGTTGTTGTAAGGGATTTTGCAGTTCTGTACAGACAGGTATTGCCAGACATCAGTCACTCAACTCAAGACTAGCACCATCCATTTTAAAGAATAGTGTTCCCAAAGATATATGGACGCTGATTTAATTTTTGCATATGATCCATGTGGCTTTGGCTTGTGCTTTTTCTTGCCTTAGCATTTATATATAACACTGACCAACACACATTTTGGTGCCTGAACATTTAGACCTGTTTCTGGGTGTATTTGATCTACTGATTTTAAAAATCACAACAGTTTCCTGTAACAGCTCAAGTTTTGAGAACCAGATCATATACCATCTGCCAATCACCATCTCCTCATCCATAGAAAATAATGTTCTAATAAACTAGAGCTAATGTGATCTATCCAATGGAATGTTCTGAATTAGCACCTCCCCAAAAAAACCTGAAAGAGGCCTAAAAGCAAAACATTTTTTGTTGGATTGTGTAATGAAAAGCAATATATCTTTCAGAATCCTAGCAAGTATTTATACCTTTCACAAATTTCCTCCAATCACATCTAAAGAGATCAATCAGACTCTAAGACGTGGGTATATGGCATGAGCAAAATCATTCAGGTCCAGACAATCTCAGTATACAGTCATCTACTTCCAAATAAGGACCAGGACTTTGGTCCCCTGGAATAATCATTTTAATTCTGTCCCTTAATCTGATGTGTAACCAAATGGACTGGTACAAGGTGGTAAGCAAAGAGAAGTGAAAGTTAAGAGAGGATATGATAGACGTGTTTAAATATTTGAAAAATTGAGGAGAGAGCAATATGAAAAATCTTCCAGATGGTAAGAGATGTTCAACAATGGAATATGCTGCCTCAGAGTGTGGTAGAGTCCCCTTCTCTGGGGGTTTTTTAAGCAAAGGCTGGATGGCCATCTGTCAAGAGTGCTTTGATTGTATATTCCTGCATAGCAGGGGGTTGGATTGGATGGCCCTTGTGGTCTCTTCCAACAGTAGGATTCTGTGAAACTTAGAGATGGCAAGAGTGCATGGTTGGATGGGGGTCATTGACAGATTATGTCCGGTGGGAAAGAATTGTTTTCCAAATGACCCAAAAGCAATACTGTATAGTAAGATACAGAACATCCAGAATCTTACAAGATGACATGCTTGGCAATTATAAGCATTCCCCCAAATGAATTGGAAAAGAAGCCTCAGTTAACACTACACTTGCTAACTACTTAGGTATAAGGGAGCATTAGAAAGGAGTTGAAAAAAAAAAAACTATACTGCATTAACTAAATGCAGCTTTCCAAATGATCAGCAGTTGTAACTGCTTTGTAAAAAGATAGAAATTTGCAGGGATAGAAGTCCCCCAAAAAGTTAGAATTCCTTTGCTCTCACCTTTGAGCTACGTGTTGGCTTCTTCAGGTCAGTCTACAAATGAATCAACTACTAAATTAAAAAAAAACAAATGGGAAAGTCAAATAACAGATAAATTAGTCCTGTCTATGTAACATGTCTAATGGAGAGACATTTTTGGTTTACTGAAGTTCAGATTTCTGTCTATTCTGCAGTCTTGGATCAGTAAAAACGCTGAAGCCGATGCTAACCTATATCTGTTCAATGTGACAAAACACGATGAAGGAGAATATCTTTGTAGAGCCAGCAATTTCGTAGGCAGAGCCGAAAAATCATTTTGGCTCCACATTCGCAAATCAAAACCAGGTAAACCCTCAACTCTGTCCCAAAGGCTTAGCAACTGCAAGAATGAGCAGTAATGCCTAAAAGGTGCTAAACATTACAATTAATATTCATGTACTCTGTCCTGCTGGCTGATAGCGTATTGTCCTGAAGTTTCTCCTTTTAGTTCTTCGCTAACTTTTAGAATAATGTAAAGCTTTGAAAATCCATTGCAATGAAAAATTCCCACATGGATAGCTATCAGTTGCAATTTGCTCTCTTCGTCTTTACTACTTTGTGGCCTGTACTCTCCTGACTCTTCATAATCCTTTTTTCTGCCGTGTCCTATTTTCCCTGTTTCATTATTCATCAAATATCAGCTGTTAGATGCATTTATTCTTCGCCTTGAAAAGGGGAGAAGACATTTACTCCAGTAGACAGTTGTTTCAGGTTATTGTGCTTGAGAACCACTTGTCCCATACGTGGAAACCAAGTGGAATGGCAGCATAGTCTTTCACATGTGTGTTTTTAAAATGTGAGTTTTCCATGTCTGCTTTCTTGCACTTGGAATATGGCAATATAATTTATACCACCCTCCCCCATTCCATAACTACTAAGGCGTTTTTAAAGGAAAAAGAGGAAGCTGTCAGTACTCTATTGAGTAACATTGCTGTTATTAAAAATAAAATCAATTTTCTGCCAGATCAAAAAGAATGAACACACACTATGCTACTTCCACCATTTTTATTACAAACCAACACATTCCCATTCATGTTTTATATAGCACTCTTTAATTTAAAAAAAATGTGGGGAAAAACCATACTTTGGTTAGATAACAAATATACAGCAGCCCTCTTGGGAACCCCAGGATCTTACCAGCTCAGACATCAGAAAAAGTCTGGGGTTTCCCTGCTGGAGGAATCTCAAGGTGGCAATGAAGCTCCACACACACCATGGATTGGCCACTATCACAGGCAAGCAGTCTGCATGGTTAGATTGACAGATTCATGGGAAATAATTGTTTTCCAAATGACCCAAAAGCAATACAGTATAGTAAGGTACAGAATTATGCTATATGATTCTGGAAAAAAATAGGATTCACACCACTCTGTTGCTATTACTTAAAAAACTATGGAGCCACAATGGCGCAGTGGGTTAAACCATTGTGCCAGCCTAACTGCTGACATGAAGGTCGGTGGTTCCGGTCCTTGAGACGGGGTGAGCTCCCATCTGTCAGCTCCAGCTTCTCATGTGGAGACATGAGAGAAGCCTCCCACAGGATGATAAAACATCCAAGCATCTCCTGGGCAGAGTCCTTGCCAACAGCCAATTCTCTCACACTAGAAGCGACTTGCAGTTTCTCAAGTCGCTTCTGACATGAAAATAAATAAATAAATCACTATGTGAACTGTGTTGTGTAATAAGTCCATCAGTCACCTTTCTATAAGTCTTGGTGGCCTGTTCCCCAGTGAGGAATATTTCAGTCATAGCCATGTAAACACAGTCAATCATCAAAGGTGGCAAAGGTTAAAAAGCTTCTGGTATCAATTAAAAAAAAAAACCCTGATGAATTTTAAAGGGGGAAATTGTGAAACTTCTTTTGCTGTGTTTAATTCACTCTTTACATGAGCTTTATTTTAATTGTTGCTTTGTCTTTCTTTCCCTTCTCTTTTCCTTTGCTTCTCATCTCCACCATGACCATACTAACTAAGAGGCAATCCTACTGTGGCCGCAATTTTTCATTCGGATGCTTTTGCTTGCATGCATCATTAGTGGGACAGAGTAAGAGCCTGGTGAAGGGATCTCTTTGCTTTGTATACAGCTGGTTGTGGTACGAAATGAGGACAAGCCACTGCCTGGCACCTCAAAAACTTCAATCGGCTCTTGAAAATTGCCTGATTTTGTTTGTTGCCTTTTCTGGGAATTTGGCTTATCCTGTGCGGTTTTTCTCCCACATCTTTTCTGTCTCTTCCTGTTTTCCTCTTCTTTAGACAGCAGGTGTTAACAAAACGGATAAAGAGCTAGAAATTCTGTACTTGCACAATGTTTCTTTTGAGGACGCTGGTGAATACACTTGTCTTGCTGGGAATTCTATTGGGTTTTCACACCACTCTGCTTGGCTTACGGTGTTACCAGGTATCTGCCCTGTCCCTTTTCCCTCTTCTCTCAAAATGCCAAGTTTTTGAAATGCCAAGCTTTGATACTATAGATAACTGCTTATTTTCAGTTGATCAGCAAGAGTGATCCATTTCCAAAGGCACATTTCACTCTTTGGGATGTGAAATTTAAGATCCAAATAGAAGGAATTCCAGAACTGAGTCTGCATTCAAATGGTTGGGTGATGATGCATCAGCAATTTCAAAGTGACAACCATTTTATTATTTAGGTATAAAAAATTAGATAAAACAAAAAAACCTTTGGTTGCAAGGAAAGTTTCCTTTGCACCATATACAGACTGAATATATTGGCATTTCTAAACCTTGACTTAATAATGTTTTATATCATTGGATTTTGATTAATGTGCTTCTCTGGTTGGATAAAGCCTATGTTTAGATGTTGCAAAATAAAGACCTTGTTGTGTGAATTATTTTAAGACATTTGCAGCAGGACTCCTGTCTCAAATAGGCAATGTCCAGCAAGTTGGAGCTGTCTTTAGTTTAGCAAAATTCCTCTTCCCCATACAGTTCTGGTATTTATGGGTTACTGCTGAGTGGGAATGTTTGTGCTCTCTGTAAAATAAATGCCATAATAACATCGGCCATTGGGAATGTGAATGGTGTGAATTCATTATAGGCAAAGATATTATCTGGATTGTTGTAAGTTTTTTTGGCTGTATGGCCATTTTCCAGAAGAATTCTCTCCTGATGTTTCACCTGCATCTATGGCTGGCATCCTCAGAGGCTGTGAGGTCTGTTGGAAACTAGGCAAGTAGAGTTTATACGAGGGTTGAATGAAAAGTAATGCCTCCACCTTCGTAACTCCTCAACAGATGGTACTTGCTTGTTCAGTAGGCTCTCCTCTACAGTTCCATTTTGGCGGGAAGCCTTAGTATTGAACGCTTGTGTTGTTAAAATGCAAAGTATGGAACCCTGCATATATGGTCGGTCAATGCAACTTAAGCAACGTGCAATCATTGAATTCTTGACAGCAGAAGGTGTCACCCCAAAGGAGATTCATCAGAGAATGCAAGCTGTTTATGGTGATTGTGTTGATGTGGGTACTGTGCGTCGTTGGGTGAGTAAGTTTAAAGATGTTGAGGTGAGAACATCTGACTTGCTTGACAAACAAAGAGTTGGATGTCCTGTGACAGCAACCACCGAGTTTCACAAGCAAAAGGTTGACAGATTGATTCAGGATGATCGTCGTATCACTCAGAAAGAAATTTCAAGCACAATCGACATTTCACAAAAACGTGTGAGTCACATTATTGCTTTGCTTGGCTATTGGAAGATCTGTGCATGCTGGTTGTGGAAACGAAGTGTTGACTTCTTCCGTGACGGCTTCAGAAAACTTGTTCATTGTTGGCAGAAATGTATCAAATTGTCTGGTAATTATGTGGAAAAGTGAAAGTGGTAGTTAAAGAGCACATTCTAAGGATTATTTCTGCATTTGATTTATTAAAATATTCCCATCCAAACCCAAGTAACGAAGGTGGAGGCATTACTTTTCATTCAACCCTCGTATATCTGTGGAAGGTCCAGGGTGGGAGAAAGAACTCTTGCCTGTTTCAGGCAGGTGTGAATGTTTCAATTGGCCACTTTGATTAACATTTAATGGCTTAGCAGTTTTCAAGGTGTGGCTTCTTACTGCCTGGGGGAATCTTTTGTTGGGAGGTGACTAGCTGTTCCCGAAGGATTCTTGTCTGGAGTTCCCCTGTTTTTAATGCTGTTCTTTATCCTCACAACCTCTGAAGATGCCTGCCATAGATGCAGGTGAAACGTCAGGAGAGAATGCTTCTAGAACATGGCCATACGGTCCAAAAAACTTAAAACAACCCAGTGATTCCAGCCATGAAAGCCTTTGACAATACAAAGATAGTAAAAATGCTGCCTCTACAGAGGCACAGAACACATTTTCATTTAAAACATCAAGCTTTTAATTTCAGTTAATACTGGTATTTGAATTGACATTGGCTTGATCTATTTCTGAATATGCTTCTGAATATTAAGTCAGTATTTAAATATTATTTCATAAAAAGGACATTWTACAGAATGCCTACTAAATCCTCCCCAAAACTTGTTTTGCTACAGTGATATTGTAGCATCTTTTCCTAGRAAATCTGTCAGGAGTGGACAGATTGTAGCCTCTGGGCCATTTTGTGAGCTCCCGAGGGTATTCCAGCATGCCAAAAATATTGGGGGGGGGGGGGGGGCTCAAGGGGGGGGGGACTGCAAATGTATTTGAAAAACTACTCACACTTTAGCAGATGTGGTAGGTAATTCCTTTGATTCTTTGAGCTCTGAACTGTCTTAAGCTTCTCTTGGTTATAAAACAGCCCAAAAGRGAAGGGGMAAATTTATTCACATGCTCCCTGAACTAGGAAGGGAACACGAAGTCTGTAGAATAMCAGWAGTACATGCTTTGCCTCYGAGATGTATATGGTTCCATACATTGCTGACTCAGTTTCAGGTAGTGTGTGTAGATCAGTTATTTAGGATATGATTTGATAGCAGCAACCATGGTGTTGCTTTTATAATTGTTTCCTGAATTAAAATGTGTTCTGTAGTAATGCTGGCTCTATAACATTTCTCTATTGCTCCTCAGCAGAAAAACAGCTTTCAACGGATGACTCCAGCTCTCTTTATGCAAGCATCCTCAGCTACGGAGCTGGTGTTGTTCTCTTCATATTGGTGGCAGTGGTGATAATTATTTATAAAATTAAAAGACCAGCCAAAATGCCTGTAAATGCCACCACTATCCAGAAAGTCTCCAAGTTCCCACTCAAGAGACAGGTAACAGAAAGTAGATACAAGGTTCCTACTCTCTCCTACATTCCTATCTTACATTGTCTTCTTTTTAAAACAGAAATCATTTCCTAAAGATTTGCGCACGTAACACTTCAGAGTGAGATACTTGAGGGCTAGTAATGAAAGACAGATTCACCATGCTTTGTTTCATGATAAATATCCAAACAAATTTTGCATAAATTATTTCTTTCAAGCTTCTAGTGGTTTCAAAATGTTCTAGTTTATAGTGGTTTTTAAATATAAATTTGCCAAAAATTGACACGTTAGCCTCCTTGTGTCATAATTTTGGAAGAAAGGTTGAGTATAAACAAAATAATATGAGTACAATGCAGTACGTAGAATCCAAAAGCAGGATGACAAGGTTGTATGCTGGCAAAGTACAAAGACGAGGCACAGCTGCCCATGTTCATGTTTGCACATCTAAAGTTTCAGATTCTCCTAGGAGAGAGAGAAAGAGAGAGAGAGAGAGCAGCCAGGTTGATGTTGTTGCGTCTTGGCTTGACATTGTGGGAATTTCCACATGTAGCAGCAACACCGAGAGAAGCCAAAGACCACGTAGCAGCAACACCAAGAGAAGCCAAAGAAGGATCAGTTTGCTTAATCCTTCTCCACTCCCTAGGTTCTAAATCATTGCAAGTTGTGACTCCACTAACAGTCATGTGAATCTTGAGAAACTTTGAAAGTCATCTGTCCATTCACTGTCATTGTTTGTCCCAGAGGGGCTGGGTCGATCCTGATGGAAGTATTAGAACAGAGGTACCAAACTTGTGGATATTTGGGTCTTCAAGCCCTAGCCAGCTTGTCCAATGGGAAGGAATTTTGGGAACTGAAGTCCAAAACACCTGAGAGGCCCACAAGTTTGACACCACTGTATTAGAAACATCAAAGGTAAATACTAAAGAGTAGGCTGAGGTACTGATGGCCTGTTCATTCCCAGGAATTAACATACAGTCAGCCCTCACTTTCTGCAAATTCTGCTTCCACAGTTTCTACCATTCATAGCTTGATAATACTGCCCGCCCCCCATCCAAAAAAGCAAAAGCAGGATGACCAAAAACCTTAGTTTTGCCATTTTCATAAGGCCCACCATTTTAGATGCCTTTAACCTTGACACCTTCTTCTCCAGTGTTGATAAATGCTTTTCAGTTTGTGCAGCCTGAAGATATGAACAGGATTCACCACATGTATTATTGACTCCTCCTCATCATGGCTAGAGGAGAACTGTTGGAGCAGACAAGGGATTAATTAATGCATCTAGGTTGGGTCCCAGCATGCCCCGAGGCAACTTCAGACCCCTTCTGAAGTTGCCGAGCAAATATAGGCCAGTCTGCAGCCTTCCATTTCTGGGCAAAGTACTAAAGTATATGGTGGCTTCTCTCCAATGGTTCCTGGATGAGGTGGATTATTTAGATCCATTTCAGTCTGGGTTTAGGCCTGGCTATCAAACAGACATAGCTTTAGTCTCCTTAGTATATGACGTATACAGGGAACTGGACAGGGGAGTGTGTCCTTGTTGGTTTTGCTGGATCTTTCAGCAGCTTTCAGTACCATTGACCATGGTGTCATTTTGAGTTGACTCTATGCGATGGGGCTTTGAAAGTACTGTTCTTCAGTGGCTCCTTTCTTTCTTGGAAGCGGGGGGGGGGGGGGTCCCAGAAAGTGGTGATAGTGGATTCCCATTTGACTCATTGACCATTGAGCTCAAGGTCCAGTCCTTTCCCCGATGCCATCTACATGAAACTGCTGAGAGAGGTCATCCAGAGTTTTGGGGTCAGGTGTCACCAGCTCCACTACTCCTTTCCACCTAATTCCAAGGAAGCTGTTCCTTTGCTAAACCAGTGCCTGGCAGCTCTAATGAACTGGATGAGGGCAAACAAATTGAAGCTTCATCAATTGGAGGACAGAATAGCAATTCAGCCTGTTACATTGGCTCTGAACCTGGAGGCCCAGGTATCAACAGTGACCAGGAGTGCTTCTGCACAATTAAAGTGAGGCTGCCAACTGCACAGTTCGTGAAAATGCCAGTTCTGGGTAGGGTGGTACATGCCTCGGTTTCATTCTGTTTGGATTACATGGGACCCCTCTCGAAAAGTGCTCAGAAACTTTACTTGGTCCAAAGAGCGGGATCTGGCTAACTGGGGTTGGCTACAGGGGAATACACAACTCTCCCGTTGCAACAACTTCTTTGGCTGCCAATTCATTTCTGCACACAATTCAAAGTGCTGGTTATTTATTTATTTATTTATTTGCAGCAAGGCTGAGAAAGCCTGTCTTTCTCAGCCTTGTGGCGACTCAAGGCAGCTCACAGAAATAGCAATTTTAGTGCCATACATTCATAAAAATACAGTTAAAACATTCAACTCAATATTTAAAAAAGCATATATAAACCATTTAAAAACATATTACCAATGTCGTCCTGTTATTGACCTGTAAAGCCTATTCAGCTTGGATCCAGACTATTTGAAGGCCTGTATCTCTCTCTATGAGCCTGCTAGAATACTAAAATAAGGAGAAGGCCTTCTCTCTGTCCCACTGCTCTCTCAAGCATGTTTGATTGGAACACAGGAGAGGGCCTTTTTGGTGGTTACCAAGGGCCAACATTATACACTGTTTTTTGTTGTCCCGTTAACTGATTACATGTGAAAATACATTTAATGCTTTGCACAGCAGCAGACTAAATTGCATTCCCAAATTGGGAAGCTGTGATAATATAAACCAAAGCATGACGTAGGGACTTGCACTTCAAAGAAAAACAATGTCTTCAGTTTATCTTTTGCATAAAGCATGAACTGTGTGTGACAAAAACATAAACTAAAATGTCCAGCTGTGTCACTTTACCCTATTTATTTCTGTGCTTGTTTGTTATGGCAGCTGTTGGCAATAACAACTCTTTTGCTCTATTCAAGCAGGTATCTTTGGAATCCAACTCTTCAATGAATTCCAACACTCCACTGGTCAGGATCACCCGCCTTTCATCCAGTGAAGGACCAATGCTGGCAAATGTCTCAGAGCTTGAGCTGCCTTCTGATCCCAAGTGGGAATTGGCAAGATCTTGGTGAGGGAAAAAATATGCTGCAAATGTAGTGTTTTACTTCTTCCTTTTTTGTTCACCACATACATGGTGGTTATTCAAATGTCTTTGTTTTTATCTCTCATTTCAGCCTGACCTTAGGAAAGCCTTTGGGTGAAGGCTGTTTTGGTCAAGTAGTGATGGCAGAAGCAATGGGCATCAACAAAGAGAAACCAAATAAGCCTATCACTGTAGCTGTCAAGATGTTGAAAGGTACTGAGAACACATAGTGCCAGGAAATGGTCTCCCCGTTTGGCATGACTCTCTTTTTCTTATCTCTTTTTCTTATGTCTGGTCCTGTTGTGGTTGGTGCTGGGTTGTTTTCTTCCTGATTTTCACCATGTAGCCTCCCTCTCTTGCTCTGCTCTTTCAGGCTTTCTGGCCCCACTTAGCTTATTCCTTCCCTTTATTAACCTGTTTATATGCTCATGCCACCATTTCGTTGGGCTGGGCATTTTGCTTCATCCTTGCTTTTACATACTGTAATCTCTCAAAGTTATTAAAGTGTTTGGTGGTCTTAACTTTATTTTCTTAATTTTTGAAAAGAGAATGCAGTAAATGGCAGGAAGGGAAGATTACTGGTAAATGCTATTCTAGGAATAACAATACAAGAAAGACTTCCATCCAGATTCATGCAACAGGAAGTCTCTTTATGGGGTCATTTTGTTAGGTTTTTTCATTTTTACTATTTCGAAGAACTTACAACCTACCCTACTGTAGTTTAAGTTTTCCATTTACAGAAGGACTAGTAGGAATTAGATTCTGTCTTGTTTCCTTTCTGAACATGTGGTTACATCAGTGTCCCAACTACAGCTTGTGGGCTAGGGAAGTATCAGTTATGATCCTACATCAGGAGACATAGCTATGAGATATAATTAGAATACTTCAATCTCCAAGCCACTTTTTCCTCAGTTTCACCCTCCCGAACTTGGCCATTTTCAGATTGGTGGAGAACAATGCAAAATACCAAGTGTCTGGCCATTTTCCTGTATAGATGAACACACAGTAACAGGCATAGAATCATAGAGTTGGAAGAGACCTCATGGGCCATCCAGTCCAACTCTCTGCCAAGAAGCAGGAAAATTGCATTCAAAGCACCCCCGACAGATAGCCATCCAGCCTCTGTTTGAAACCTTTCAAAAAAGGAGCCTCCACCACACTCCAGGGCAGAAAGTTCCACTGCTGAATAGCTCTCACAGTCAGGAAGTTCCTCCTAATGTTCAGATGGAATCTCCATCTACAGAACTTGGAGCATTGACATTGCTGTCCACTTGGCAAATGGAAAACAGTTGGACAATTGCTGGCTACACCTCACCCTCCACTAATTGGTAAATAGGCAGGCTCAGGAAGTTGAAGATGATAAAATGTGGCTTTGGAGAGGATATTGATTGTCGTGCAAGTGACAGTGAATTCTTAACTCCAAAACAATAAAAAAGTGAGTTGTGATAATATGAGTACAACTTACACCACTGTAGTTCACCAACAGGATGCCAGCCATTGTTCACCAGGTTTGAACTGCTGACTTTGGTGATAAGACCATCGGGAGGGAGGGAGACACTGATCAGTTTATATTCAATTAGTAGTGACAGAATGGCAAGGAAATAACATGGTATGTGCTATATTGTGTTATCTGGCTGCTAGAACAGATGGCTGAATGCGGTACTTGAATGAATTTCCCATGTGTCATGTGATGAAAGTATGATTTTCCTTAATTTTTTTCTTCTTTTCTATGTATTCTGTAGATGATGCAACTGACAAAGATCTTTCTGACTTAATCTCAGAAATGGAAATGATGAAAATGATTGGGAAGCACAAAAATATTATTAATCTGTTGGGAGCCTGCACACAGGATGGTATGTTCCCAGAACATGTGGCTGTGAACAGGGGGCGGGGAAGTACATTGTGTGAGTTATGGTGTTTTTAGGAAGCCCCCAAGACCCTACACCGCCAATTTAAAATTGGGCTGGGGAGAGGCAAATTTCAGGAGTGTGCCTATGAAGGGGTACACTAAAAATGATACTGACATGTTATCTTTCTATGTGAGAACTGCAGTAGGCTAGACAGCCGTATAAACTCTCCTCTCTCTCTGGTCCTATTTCAGCACTCCTACAACAGTTGCTTCCATACTTTTCAAAAGAAGGGATTTAAATGTTTTCACACAATGAGCATCTTATCTAGTCTGGCACTACATTACCAAGGGGGAGGTTTTGAAGGCTTCAAAAAGGAGGCCAGTTGGGAAGCTGCCATCCCTCTGTTGGGATGGTTAAAGGCAAAGGATGGTTAAAGGCAAAGGAAAGCCAGTCTGACAGAGGGGTGCTGTTTCCAAACCTGCCCCTTGGTTTTGAAGACCTCATGAATGAGGCCAGTTGAGAACTGTATAAGGCTGGTAAGTTCACTAGCCTCAGCCTAACAGAAAGGAACAGGAGACTTCCATGCACAATTCTAGTGCATTTTTTGTGAAATTTAGCCCCAAAAAAGGTGACATTAGACTTGAGCAAATATAGTATAATAGTATAGTATATAGTTGTATATAAGATAAATTAGTTTATGGAATTGATTTCCACAAGGTATGATGACAACTTTAAAAGGAAATCAGACAGATTAGTGTTCAGGCTGCGACTTCTATTTGGTAAGTGTAATGCCCATGTTTAGAAGCATTGGGCCCTGAAGTCAAAGCAAGCGGTGACTACTACTGTGAGGCATTGCACAGGCACATAAGACTCAAACAGGGAGAGACCAAATATCCTTCCCCTTGATAGAAAGTATCAAACAGTTAAAAGATCATTAAAAGTTATATAATGGGGCGGAGGTGGCAAAATGGGTTAAACCCTTGTGCTGCTGAACTGCTGACCTTAAGGTTTTCAGTTTGAATCTGCGGGATGAGGTGAGCTCCTTCAGTTAGCCCTAGCTCCTGCCAACGTAGCAGTTCGAAAACATGCAAATGTGAGTAGATAAATAGGTATCGCTCCTCGACTTGAAAATGGAGAAGAGCCAGAGATGAGCACCGCCTCCAGAAGCCAGAAATGAAAGGAGAAGCCTTTGCCTTGTCTGTGTTTGTGTGTCTCATTGTATGTGATTTTAAGACATTGAATGTTTGCCTATATCTACTGTAAATGCGGTAATCCACGCTGAGTCCCCTAGGGGAAAAGGGCAGAATAGAAATAAAGATTATTATTATTATCATCATCATTTTTATTATGATAAAAAGGCAAAAAACATAACCTAGATGTACAACACTGATAAAGATTTACCCACAAAGACTTGGCGGTATTTTTCCAAGAACTGACAAAGGGGGTGAATACATTTGCAACCATAAAGGATGTTAGTTTACTTACCTTTTGTGCCACAGTAGGAAATATCTGTCACATCAGAGTCAATGTCTCATATACTTCAAATACCCATGAAATCCTTTGCAGTCCCAGGCTGTAAGACATCAAAATATGGAAAGGGGGTGGAGTTTACACTTCTGCAAGATGACAAGTGTTTTCCCCAGGCAATCTATATCAGGGGTCCTCAAACTTTTTAAACTGAGGGCCAGGTCACCGTCCTTCAAATTGTTGGAGGGCCAGATTATAATTTGAAAAAAAACATGAATGAATTCCTGTTCACACTGCACATATCTTACTTGTAGTGCAAAAACGCTTTAAAAATGAAGAAAATTTTAACAAATATTGTTAAAATTGTGGGCCTGCTTTTGACTGATGAGATAGGGTTGTTGTTGTTGTTGTTGTGTGCTTTCAAATAATTTCAGACTTAGATTGACCCTGAGCGAGGGCCGGGTAAATGACCTTGGAGGGCCATATCTGGCCCCCGGGCCTTAGTTTGAGGACCCCGGTCTATATTCTTCTTTTCTTGTTGCTGTTGCAACTATTAAATTTGATTGCGCTATTCTGGAACTGAAGTATCTGCCTCATAATTACATTACAATTATTTACTTTAAGTGAGTTGAAGCTCCCTTTATATATGGAGCCCACCCACCTAAGGCAATGTACAAAATAAAAATACAAAATTGGTTAGATAAGAATCAATGGCTATTGGTGTTAACTGTATATTGTTGTTGTTGTTAATTGTATACATTTCTATAATATGTTATTATGTTAACTGTCTTTTATACTGTGTTATGGTAGCATTGAATTCTTGCTGTTCTTGTTGTTAACCGCTGTGAGTCACCTAAGGGCTGAGAACAGCGGTATACAAATAAAGTAAATAAATAAATAAATAAATGAAAGAAGCTTTAATTCTTACAACATGAATAACAGGGTTATCGGAGTTTTCCTGAAAACCTGCTCAGAAGCAGCCTGATGATTTCATAACTAAAACCAATTCCATCGATTCTAGAGATTCAAATGGGAGATACATGCAGAGTAATGCTTTTGCAGCTCATTAGAATGAGAACTTGAAGATAGAAGAAAGTCTGTTTTTGATAATACTTGGTGGTTTTACTGCAGGCCCTCTCTATGTTCTGGTGGAATATGCATCAAAAGGAAATTTGCGAGAATACCTTAGAGCCCGTCGCCAACCTGGCATGGATTACTCTTTTGATACCTGCAAGCTACCTGAGGAGCAATTAACATTTAAAGACTTGGTCTCGTGTGCCTACCAGGTGGCACGTGGAATGGAATACCTGGCATCTCAAAAAGTGAGTAACAAAACAAAATGGCAAGAAAAAAAATTTTAGACTTCTTGTTTTGTGTCTACAAAATAAGCACAAATTGGATCAGTGTTTTAGTGGGATATCCTGGTAGCTTTGCCTTGAGAAGAATCGGGAACAATGTCCATTGCTAACTTCAGTACAGAATTTTTAAGTGTCACAACTTAGATCTGTGCACTATAAAAATGGGGAAAGGATAAAACCGACAGTCAATTAAGGAAAATAATATGTATGTGGGGTCGTTTGGGAATAAGGACACACTGATGTTGAGCTCCAATTGAAATAGTGAAGAGGAAGAAAACAAAATGAATAGCAAAATGTCTTCTCCAAAGTAAATAAGGAAAGGAGAAATGTCTTCCACTGGATCAGTGGTTCTCAACCTGTGGGGCCCCAGATATTTTGACGTTCAACTCCCAGAAATCCTTGCATTTGGTAAACTGGCTGGGATTTCTGGAAGTTGTAGGCCAAAACAGCTGGGGACCCACAGGTTGAGAACCACTGCACTAGATGCTTCTCAAATCAGGAAGCCTTTCTTTTTACGAGGCCATTCACATGGGTTGGATTATCTGCCATGAAACATGGCTCTGCCACCCCATTCTTAGCTCAGGAATCCAGCATCTCTTCCCTGAATAGGGATGAGGAGCAAATGCTTTCAGTTGGTTCATCTACAGGCTGTTGGGAAAACTACCGTAAAATGTTTCATTGCACCCCCTGGCTTTTCCTTGCCCTCTTGAGATCTCCAGCTGAGAGCAAGCAAAATGGCCTTTTCCCCATACAGACCGAGAGAAGACAGACCAGCCTGCTCTTTGCCACTGTTTCTGGAATCCAGCTGAGATTGGGCTGGGATTCAATTTCTCCCTGGAAATTTTGGCTGACAAGTGGGACAATCAAATGTGGAAGATTACTGGAAATACCTTTTAAAAATATAATTACTTAAAAACATAAATTTCTAATTTTTACAGTATAAAAAGTTGAGGTATAATAGGGTAATGGGGGAAGGATTCATGGGGGAAGTACTCCACAAATGAGGAATAAAAGGAAAAAGAGAAGAAAAGAAGAAAAAAACCTCTGAACCTAATGAGGATTTAGGGAAGGAAAGGAAGATAATGAGAGGGGGAAAAGCAATGTTGGCTTCTAATCTTCTCCACAGTGGTTTGCATTGTCCTTTCTTAGTTCCTTATAATTCTGCTATCCCCTCTTCGTTCACTTTCTTTGTGGAACAATTCTTCTCTTGGTCATCAGTTTGGTTCTATTAACAGTTCATTTCCCCCCCTTGTATCATATAGTCTCTTAATGGTGTCCAATCCGTTATGTTTTTATTTTCACATATACATTGGGATACTAATTGACATACTTATATGTCAGTTGTTTTCAACATCCAATGTTCTGTTGAAGGTGTTTCTTTTGTTCTCCGTTTTCTGTGCATATGTTATTCTAGCTGCCATCACTAATTAAATACAGTAACTTCTATTTTTTTATTATCTATATCCATATCTGTGATTCCCAATAGAAAGTATTCTGGTTTCAACTGCAGTTTTATCGCTAATATTTTCTGGATTTTTTCTTGATTTTCTTTCCATTTTTGTTTTGTTATTTTATAAGTCCGCCACATGTGAAAAAGTTCCTGCATGATTGTCACATTTCCAACACTTGTGCTGTACTTTTGAGTAGCATTTTGCTAGTTTTTGTGGAGTTATGTACCACTGATCCATCATTTTATACTAATTTTCTTTCACATCATATGAATGTGTATATTTTTATTTTTGGTTCCATACTTTTTTCCCATTCTTCTAGTTTGATTGGGTGTCCATTGTTTGTAACCATGCAGTCATTAACTTGCTCTGTTTCTGTTGACTATTCTAATAGTTTTTGGTATAGCTTCGTTATTAGTTTCTTATTCATCGTCATTATTTCTCCATAAATCCAGTTATCTTTATTATAACTTTCAATTATTTGTCGGTATTGAAACCAGGAAATATTCTTGTATGTTTTGTTGATTTTTTTTCTTGTGCTTTCAATGTGATATTTTCATTCTGTTTTTTCAATATTTCTCTATATATAAGCCACTTATCCTGTCCCAATTCTTTTCTGTGTCCCACTTCTAATAGGGAGATCCATAATGGGGTCTTTGTGTACAGTCTGCATTTTCCCCATTTTTTTTATCAATGCTGATCTAATAAAGTGGTCACCAATTTTTTTCTCTACTTTCCTTTTCCCATACCATATATATATATGCATGCCAGCTGGAGAGATCTTTTTTTAAATGCTGGATTAGATAGATCAGGCACCCTCAAATTGCAGCTCTCCAGCTGTTTGGGCCTCCAACACCCAGAAGCCCTATTGAGCTTGTTCAATTGTCAGGAATTCTGGGAGTTGAAGGGCCAAACTGCTGGAGGGCCACAGTTTGATGATGCCCAAGATTGACGATGTAGCAGCATATAAACCATGATAAACAACTGCAAAATACTCTCAATCAATCCATATTTATGCTTTTTCTCTTTTCTTTACAGTGCATTCATAGGGACTTGGCAGCTAGAAATGTATTGGTCACTGAAGACAGTGTGATGAAGATAGCTGATTTTGGACTTGCTAGAGATGTTCACAACATAGATTATTACAAGAAAACAACTAACGTAAGCAAAAAGCCACACCCCCTCCCCAAATGAGTCAGTTTGGGTAATTGTATTGGCAGTAAAGATGCAGTAAAGCCTGAGGTGGATACAGTGGAATTCTGCTTGATCAGTTTTACTGTAGACAAGTGCATCGAAGGCAAGGTAAATAATAGCTGCCTAAAGAATCACTTACTGAGCAGCAAAAAGGGAGAAAGGGAGAAAATAGATGACATGCCTCACTAGCTACCCATAACTTGTAAAAATATAGAGCTATCCAGTTAGCTAAAAAAAAAAAACAGCTTTCCCCATTACATCGTCTGTGCCAGGGAGCAGTTTGGGGCAGAATGGAAGTGGCATTGTGGGATGAGGGAGAGAAAGAGAAATGAGCCATGTCCAGAATTGTGAGAGGACTTTTGCCCAGGACAAGGAACAGATGTTGTATCTAGGTCTTAGCCAAAACCTTGCCTTTAGGCTTCCAGTCATCTTGACTTCAGGCTTCTACTTGCCTCACAGTGAAGGGCTTGTGTCAGAAATACTACTTGTATTGGAGGTGGAATAGGTCAATCAGTTTATCTGTGGTCATTATTACATTGTCTGTTGGTGCCATCTGTTTGGTCTGGTCACTGATTAGACTGTTTCAGCTCAAATTACATTAGAAGGTTCAGATGGTGCCAGAATATCTGGGTGAAAGTGCTGGTGGATATTTCTTTTTTGTCTCGCTAATTATAGGGTCGGCTGCCTGTGAAATGGATGGCTCCAGAAGCACTATTTGACCGGGTCTACACTCACCAGAGTGATGTGTAAGCATTGCTTTCATTGTTTGAAAATGTAGTTAAATAAAGCAAAATACAGAGTCATGGAAAGAATTGTAATACCAAGAGGAGAAGGCAGCCTGCAGTCCGGTGAACTTGTGCATGAATAATTTGATGTGTTCCATTTACTGATGACAGCAAAAGAATTCACAAAGAGTATAGAGTAACTGATGATCTCTCAGCCATTGGATTAAATGATCATTTTAATTTCAGACTCAATGCCTAGGATTTCTGTTGACCTGGATCAAAGGAAATCTTTCAAGTGTTTAGAGAAAAATAGCCAAGATAATTAATTGTTTGCTAGCTATGCATGGCTACTCAAAAACAAACCAGAAATCTTCTCTTCATTTCCTGTCCTCAAATATCATTGCATGTTGTTGTTGTTGTTAATTATTATTATTATTATTCCTAGTTGGTCCTTTGGAGTGCTGCTATGGGAGATCTTCACTTTGGGAGGTTCGCCATACCCAGGAATTCCTGTTGAGGAGCTCTTCAAACTCCTAAAGGAAGGTCATCGAATGGATAAGCCAGCAAACTGTACCCATGATTTGTAAGTATTGGGATATTTGAAAACAACCACTTTTATCCACAGGTACTGCTGCATTTTTACAGAATTTTAAATTTTATTATGTGACTTTTTAGGTGGAAGTATTGTGTACATTTATGTTGTAATTGGTTTGTATGCTTATGTAATGTGTATTTTATGTGTGTGGCACTTTGGAGTGCTTTTGTGATCCGCCCCTAGTCACTTCGAGGAGATAGTAGCAGGATATAAATAAAGTTTATATTATTATTATACTGACACAAAAACACAATATGTCACAGTAAACGAGATATATATGCTAGATTTTCTTTGGCTTAGAAATGGAGATGAGCACCCACCCCCCCACCCCCCCCCCACCCCCAAAGTCGGACACAACTAGACTTAATGACAAGGAGAAGCTTTTGCCTTTACCTTACTTTAATTTCAAATAAATTTATAATAAAAATATTTCACAGTTGGATCTCATAGGCACAAGTGAATGCCTTTTTAAGATTTTGTGACATTGAGTGACCAATTCTTTCTTCCTCGTTTGTGTCCTTTTCCACACCAGGTACATGATTATGAGGGAGTGCTGGCATGCAGTGCCTTCACAACGGCCAACGTTTAAACAACTAGTTGAAGATCTGGATCGAGTTCTGACAGTAACCTCAACTGACGTGAGTATCTATTCTCTTCTGGTTGGCTGTAGCCCTTATTTCATGGAGAAATTGACTTTTACCTTTTATTTAAAATTGTATTGTATCATATATAGTAGTTGAAACAGGTCTGAGCATCACTATATTCTGAAGGCAGCCTGCAGTCAACTCCCCAGACTCACAAACAGCACACACTAAAGGCAATTGAATTAAAGTTCCATTTAAGTATAACATCTTTATTGGTTTGCTTATTTCAAACATTTCTATCACACCTCTCTGACTTAACTATAGAGCACCTTATGATGAAATTAAAATAAATACCATACAGACAGGATACTCAAGCATAACATAAATAAAACAAAACAAAAGTTAAAGTTATAAACAAAACAAAAGTTAAAAATTAAAGAAAAAAATTAAGTGTTTGTCCACAATTGAGGTTGAATCTACTCAAAAGAGGCTATTGATTGTGGACCACATGGGAGGTCCAAAGTGATTTGTTATATTGTCCTAGTAATCAAAAATGTATGCAAAAGTCTGGGTTTAGGACAAGCAGGTGCTGCTTCTTGATGCATGGAGACAGTAACCTCTTCTTCAGGCCTCACGTTCATTCAGGTTTTGGTATACATTGATCATCTTGGGCAGAGGCCAGAATATTTGCAACCTAAGTGTAGAACTCCCAAGACCTTTAATGACTTAGGGCCCTTCCACACAGCCATATAACCCAGAATTTCAAGGCAGAAAATCCCACAATATCAGCTTTGAACTGGGTTATCTGAGTTCACACTGCCATATATCCCAGTTCAAAGCAGATAATGTGGGATTTTATTCACCTTTGTGGAAGGGGCCTTAGACATGAGAATGAAGTGTCACTATAGTTGTTTGCTGAGTTGTTTTTTCTGTCTATTGTTAGTGCAATTTGTTGGAACTCAGCCACATCCTGCTTGCACAAGTTTATAGTCCTCATCTATTTTAATGTTTTTTTATTGATAAAATTAAAAACTAAAGAGGAAAGGCATTTACATCGAAAGTGGGAGAACATATTTTTTTGAATTAGGAAAATGGGAGAGAGAGAGACAGATTTGAAGAAGAGGGAAAAAAACCAGTGACAACAAAGATGAGCCCCTCCTCCTAAGAAAGAAAAGAAAATAAGAAAATAATAAAAACCTAAAAATAAAAATGATAATAATAGTGGGAATAAAAAAATAATTAAAAATTGTTGACTTCCATCTAGTCTTTGGTGTTTTTTCCCCTTTTTGAAATTACCCAACACAATTGTTCTTCTTGCAGGAGTATCTTGACCTGTCGGCGCCTTTTGAGCAGTATTCTCCCGCAGGCCAGGATACACACAGTGCCTGCTCTTCAGGAGATGACTCTGTATTTGCACATGATCTTCTCTCCGATGAGCCCTGTCTTCCAAAACAACAAGCAAACGGCATCATCATCAGGACATGATGGCAGACCCTCAAATAAACAGTCTCTTGAATGTATGTTTTGGGCAGGTCAGGAACAAAACCCAGAGGGAGATTCTGTTATTCTCTCTAGGACACAGAAGACTTATATACTTGTGAAACTGTATCTTAGAGCCCGTTCCCAAGGTGTTCAATTATAAAAGAACCAAATGGTTCCGAAGCACTGTTTGGTCAAAAAGAGCCCATCTTTTTTTGCAGGGAAGTAGCATCCTGACAGTTAGCGTTACACCTAGATCTGGAGTGGGCTCCATGCCAGCACCTGTGTATTTCTCTGGGTGTCAGAGCTCCTTTCTCACTGCCAGCACAAACACACACTACATCGGGGTTATACACCGCCTACACACCTGCATATGTTATGTTTGAAAAGGAGCTTTTGAAGCCATAAATAGCCCTCTGGTCATTTGTGGTTTCAGCGAGGGCCTGGGGATGGAGCCTGCAATAAGTCACATTGCTGGCAAATACATCTCCAGAACCATCAACATTACCCATCCCTAAACCCTGGAGCAGGGGTGTCAAAGTCATTTTTATTGAGTGTCACATCAGCCCAATGGTTGCCTTCTAATGGCTGCTTGTAATTGTCAGGCTGTATAAATGAAGCTATATTGCTCTCAAAGCTTTGTGGGCCACATAAAAGGACGTGGCAGTCAAAATTTGACCCACGAGCCTTGCATTTGGCACCTGTACCCTAGGGTCTGAACTTCCACCTTGAACGCTACAGTCACCATTATGTGCCTTTAATTACAGGAATGAGAAAAAAAATGCTATGTGTCCTTAATGCTATGTATGTAAACAATGTAGCTCTTTTTACACCACAGTGAATACACGGATCTTTTTCGTGGAGCTTGAAAGCTACGTTGCCTGCAGGGATTCATACTTATGTAAATACCAAGGCTGGAACTCATTAAGTCAGTTTAAAATGGGTAACACATCGATGACTGGGTTGTATTCATAACCCCTATATATGCAACTGATTTAGGGGATATGTAGGAACCAAGGAAGTTGCCCAGTCCACACTTATAGGACAGTGGCTTCTGCAAACAACAGCAGTCTGTTCCACTGTTCATCAAGAAGCAGCCAACGAATGTAGACCTCACCCTCTCCTGCAGGCAATCTCCAGTGCGAGAGGGAATTTCAACAGGGGCCGTGGTCCCTGCTTATATATGGAATCAGATGGGAGTGTCAGTCAGTTGCTTTCCGACCAATATGCAGAAAGATCCTAGTCAAACACAAGGGGAGGGATGTTCAGGCTGATATAACTACACTGGTGAGGGAGTTCCAGCCCTAATTATTAACCAATTTGCCATCTATTTAGGAGGAATTTTAAAGCCATTTGTGGAGTTGATAATTCTTGAAATGCATCAGGCCTCTTTCGAGGTTGCTTTGGTTTTGCCTCTTGCACTAGCATCAGGAACAGAATAAGTGAATGTATGCAGACAGGAGAGAACACTAAAGACTTGGAGATGTTGCAAGCTGTAGTCAATGGAACGTTGTTTTGTGTATGAGCGTCTTGTGGTTACTTTGCCCTAAATTATTCCAGGGAATTGTTTTTAAAAATCATGAACAGTGTTGGATACGAATCTTGCTATTTGCTATATTTATTTACTTACATTCTGATGTGCAGAAATAGTGTAGATGGGAGCCTCAAAGTTCTCACATTTCTGCCACCTTTCCCCAGAAATCTCCTAGCAATTTCCATCCCCCACGAATACTTGGAGAAAATAATTACGGGTACCTGTAGGCAAGCGCCTTTTAACTTATCAAAAAGTTCTGTTTCCTAGAATTGTGTGTGTGTATGTGTGTGCACGTATGTATGTGTATCAAAACTATAAATATATATTTGTGTATATGAGAAAGTAATATTTCAGATGAGATTGGTTGAAAGAGAACTTCTCCAAGGTTAAAAAAAAACCCCTTCCAATCTAGGATATACTGATTTAGAGAAAGAGACTTGCTTTGTTTTTCCTACATTTTTATTTTTAGAAAATTATATCTTAACATCCTGTATATTTGTAAAATTATTTATAGCTATTAACAGTGGTTCTTTTCATTGGTTTAAATATGTTAGTATTAATGTATGCATTTACTTTTTTTTGCCAGATTTAAAGTCTTAACTTATTGCAAATGCAGGAAGATAAATTCAGTTTTTTTCTCCTGCATTTATGGGAAATATTAAAAGAATGTATAGCTGTACAGTCATTTAACAGATTACTTTTAAGACTTTTAATGTATTTTCTTAAAGTTTTCCTGGGTTGACTATAAATACACACATTCTGCAACACATTAGAATTAAATCTAAACAGATGTTGACAAAGATTATTTTTACTTTTGTGTAAAAGCCAAGAAAATTTCATCACATTTACCACTGTGCATTAAGGAGGTAATGCGTGCATTTTCCCTCTTTTTTTGAATGAAAGTATTCTTGTGGTTCATTTAATAACAAATTTGCAGCAAAGTTGAATGTTGATTGCAAGAACATGTGCACTTGGGTATGTGTGCATGCCATGTATTTTCTCTTGTCAGATCCATTTGCATTTTTAAATGGGGACAAAATAAAAAAGCAATATTTAAATTATATGTGGAGAAGATCTTGATGGTTTTTTTAGCCTTTAAACCTAACCTTTTGTTTGGGAAAATGCCAAGTTTTGTAGACGTGAGTTCTGTATGCGCTGAATAACTCTGTCAAAGCATTTTAGCTAAGCAGAAACACATAGAATGGAGTGAAATTATGAAAGTTGTATTTGTAAGAAACTTTTAACCTTACTACCACCAAGAAATGCCTTTATAAGTAATCCTTTGGTCTTCTCTGTATAGATCTGTTGCTTTACCATAGTAACAGGATAGGATGGCCGCCATTCCTGTTAAGTATTCATTTTTAAAATAATACATTGGACTTACCAAAATAGAAAATTTATAGATTTTAAGTTTCAAAGAGTTTTTTTAAAAAAAAAATAGATTTATATAGATGATTGTGTTTTTGAAATCAAGAATTATGATATTTTCTTACGATGTATGCTACTTTTGTACATTCCATGAATCGGAAGAATTGCTATTCCAATCCACAACAGTGAACAAATGTGTGCCTGACTTCAATAGTTATTATAAATAAATATATATGTATAAAATTTATTGAGTTTTTACAAAGCTGCGTTGGTTGTAAACTTGTTCATTCTTTAACATTATTTTCAGTTTTTGTACAGTTACATAGCCAGGACACATGTCTTAAAACTTTTTTCCCTGCTGATGTTGCAAGCTCCTCATTTTGGATATCTTAATATTTTGATAAACACCGTTTTAGTTCCATATTGTCTGTATTTTGCTTATTTTGCAGTCATTGAAAGATGTGAAACAGTCTATTCTTGTTTTCATTTATCTGGCCTAAAAATAAAAAAGAACATTGAATGTAATTTCTCGGTTCACTACTGCCGTTTTTGAAGTCTTTTAAAGAATAGACCTTTGCTTTCATATCATATTTAATGTCTCAGGAGATACGATAAGTTCAATACATAAGAAAAAAGATTTAAAACTCAAATCAGAATTTGTCATATTTCAGTGAACTGAAAATAGAGATTGAATCCCCACCATGAAATAAGAGACCAGACACAGAGATATGGAGAAATTATGGGCCATTTATTCAAAACTGGTAAATGAACTAAGTAACTAGTTATGGAGGGACATGGGCAATGGCATGAGGCCAGGTATCATTCTCTGACTACCTGCCAAGCCAACCATTGGGTGAAGCACCTGACCCCAGGGGCACTCCACAGTGTGATTTCCTATCCCAGCCGGTCATTACTGAAAGGCCATCGCTGGGGACCTCCCTCCCAAGCCACATAACCCAATAGGAGAGAAGTAAACCTCCCAGTTAAGCCCCAAAGGAGATATTTTGGGGAACCCCTTCAGCCACAGAACCTACCGAGGTCGACCCAAAAGTCCCCCTTTACCCCAAAATGGAGGGGTGCCAAGGTGCACACTGATCCATGTTCTCCTCCCATTTCTTGTCATCAAAAGACTCGGGCGTCTGCCTAGTGTCTTTTATTCATCAAAACTTCTAATGCAACCTCTAAACCCCTGTCATTCCCTTCTATAGATAAATATACCTCATCTGACCTGTAAAGCTCAAGCTTCTGGAAAACAATATCTGAATGGGGAGATATTGGCCTGGTATTTCCCTATTTAGTTTACGTCTCGCTGTGTCTAGTGCCCTAGGATCACCTTCAACCCTCCACACTAAATGTAGTCATATTTCAGTGAACTGTTAATAGAGAATACTAGCATTCATTGCATATAATTTCCCAAGGAAACACTATTCAATAGAGAAACTTTATATATTCCCCTTGGAAGAGAAGAGCATACTGCAGATACAAGGGCCACTTGTGCACAGTTCTGTTCCACCTCCACCTCATAATGTCGTCGTTCATAATGTGGCAGCATTCCCATTTAATACTTATTTTCTATTAATATGCAAATAGAATATTGCTGAAGGCAAATGTGTGATTATAACAAGTTAATGCTTGCCTGAAAAATTTCTGCCAGGACAGAGGAGTGTATGAAATGTTCCCACAGAAATAGTAGTATCTGAAGCAAACTACTTTGATTCTGTAAGTACATTCACAAAGATAAAATTCTTGTGTGTTGCATGCCGTTCTTGAATAAACTGTTGATTTTATTCTGGATAATAGAGTACAATAAATTGAGAAATATAAACTGTTAATACAGATTTGAAAGAACCACCACAACCCCACCACACCCCACACTCCCGCCCAACTCTCCCAAAAAAAAAGTAACAGCAAAAAGGAATTCATGGCTTTTCAGAAAATGATGCTGTTGAATGCCAGGTCAGTAAATGGAAAAACAAGGGCCATCCAGGAACTGATTAAGAAGGAGCATGCTGACCTGACTTTTGTTACAGAGATCTGGTTGGATGAGACTTGGGGGGGAGGGGGTATTTATTTATTTATTTATTTATTTATTTATTTATTTATTTACAATATTTTTATTTCGCCCTTCTCACCTCGCAGGGGACTCAGGGCTCCATGTACATATACATGGCAAACATTCAGTGCCATAGACACACAACATATATAGACAGACACACAGAGGCTACTTAACATTCCAGCTTTTTCATGGGGTTATTCTGGCCACCAGGGAGCTGTCGCTTCACCATCCATTTGTGACACTGATGAAGTACTTCCTCATTCTTTGCATGTTTATCAAAATATGCTAGAGATTTTTATAGTGTCGTAAATTAGCCTACCTGCATAAGCGGAACCTAAATTTTCTACTTGACAGATGCAACTGTCTTTCGGGCCACAAAGATTGACAGCAAGCTACACAAATAATCTCTCTCAATTCTGCCCACCTAGTTTTTCTGTACAGCAGCAGGCGAGACCTGCAAGACAGGAAGGTGGAGTCACATTGGTCCATCCTCCTGACCAAGTACCCCTTCCTACATTCTACAGGGCTCAATTTTGTGTCCCTAAAGGCAGCTGGACAGAATAGGGATTCTGTTGGTTTTCCTTACTGAACTGTTGTCTCACGGTTGGTGTTAGGGGACTCAGCAGCTAATATATGTTAAACAGCATGAGGGACAAAACAAAACCCAGAGGCCAATGGCCAGGGATTGGAACAGGAGTCCCCCAGCACCACCTCCTGGGTATGGCCCCCCAGGAAGGAATGGAGAAGTTTAAACAGTACCTCCAAGTCCCATCCCAGCCAAAATAGTCCAGAAAGATACCCTGGTCAATGGTATCAAAAGCCATTGAGAGGTCCAGGAGAACCAACAGGGACACACTTCCCCTGCACAGATCTCTGTGTAGGTCATCCACCCAGCAACCAAAGCTGCCTTTGATCCATAACCAGGCCTGAAAGCAGATGGAGATCAATCTAGATAATCATGTCATCCAGAAATCGCTGGAATTGGGAGGCCACCACACGCTCTTAACACCTTACTCAAAAAGTGAAGGTTGAACACTGGCCAAAAGTTGTCCATTATAGAGGTGCTTAGGGGTGGCTTTTTAACTATCTAAAGGTAGTATTTTCTATCACACATTTTACTATCTTCTTTGTGATAGTATTATGGGGGACCTTGTTGAAGACCTTACCAAACAAAATATACATCTTCCACAGCATTCCCTTCATCTACCAAGTCTATAACTCTATCAAAAATAGAAAAAATGTCTTCTTTAATTGTGCTTTCCAGCATGGCAGAAGGTTAGACTAGATGATCCATGTGGTCTCTTCCATTTCTACTATTCTATGATCCATGTGGTCTCTTCCATCTCTACTATTCTATGATTCTATGATCTGATGTGACTTGCCATTGAGAAACCCATGTCTATTTTGAATGGTTATGGCATTCTTTTCTAGGTACTTACACATTTTGTGTGACGATCTAGATCATTTTGCTTATGCTATGTTTTCCATTCACACATGCACATGCACACACATGAGAATTAGGGGCGAGAACAGCTGCTTGAATGATTATATTAATTAGCATTTATATAGCACTTTGGCATGTAGAAACTCATTCATTATCCTCTTTGAATCCTTTCGACAGCCATTTAAGGAAGATATGCCAATGTTTTTATCCCCATATTTCAGCTTGAGGGACAGAACAGCTAAGAGTGGTGGAAGGCAACACCGATTTCAAAAACATGGAAAACGTAGTAGCACTTCACATCCTCAGCCATTAAACGCATTACTGGAACAACAACCTATTACATGTTAACCTTGGAATCTCCCCTTGCTAAGGAGAGAAAGAGGAAACTATATATTTGCGACTTGAAAAAAAACTGCTTCCAAGATCACATTCATGAACAAAAAGACATTTTGGGAAATAATGTAATTTAACATACAGTCTTCCAGATGATGGAATTGCACGCACACCCCACCACCAACTGCTAGGAATTAATCCCTGCTCCAGACAAATTGTGCATGCACATTAGCTTATAGATCTACAAGTTGAGTGATTGATGGATTGATGTCTGGATCCTGACCCTTATCTACTGGTGTAATCAAATGAAGTTGTAGCCTTTTTTTCTCCAAACGTTTGTTGTTTAGTCTGGCTTTTGTCGCATGTGTGGAGCAGATCTCACCTGACCATGCAATCAAAGCAATTAGAATTCTATTTATTTGTTTGTTTATTTATTTTATTTGTATACCACCCTTCTCAGCCCTCAGGCGATTCATGGCAGTTTACAATGGCAACAATTCTATGCCCAAAAACACCATAAAACATTTAAAACATTAACATATATTATAAAACCATAACAAGAATATTAAAACATAGATCCTTCAAGGCTATTTTATCCTACCCGGATAACATATCATCTTACATTATATTTGTCTTCTTAGCTCCTGTCATTTGTATCCCTTGCTCCTCTCACACTTAAGCTGTAACCAATAGTCCAGCAACTCTCGCTCCATGTATTGCTGGAGTCTTCCTTGCAGGATCTTGAGCATTACCTTACTGGCATGAGATATAAGGGCCACTGTATGGAAGTTTGAGCAGTCTTTAGCATTTCCCTCTTTAGGTATGGGGATATAAGTTGATTTTTTCCAGTCTGATGGCCATTCTTATGTTTTCCATATTTGCTGGCATATGGCATGCATCACCTTGACAGCATCATCTTTCAAGATTTTAAACAGTTCAGCTGGGATCCTGTCGTCTCCTGCTGCCTTGTTGTTAGCAATGCTTCTTAAGGCCCATTCAACCTCACTCCTCAGGATGTCTGGTTCTAATTCATTCACCACACCGTCAAAACTATCCTCAATATTATTATCCTTCCTATACAGATCTTCTGTATAGTCTTGCCACCTTCTCTTGATCTCTTCAGCTTCTGTTAGGTCCCTGCCATCTTTGTTTATTATCATGCCAATTTTTGCCTGAAATTTACCTTCAGTGTTTCTAATTTTCTGGAAGAGGTCTCTTGTCCTTCCTATTCTGTTGTCTTCTTCCACTTCCATGCATTGCTTTTAAAAATAGTTATCTTATCTCTTCTGGCTAACCTCTGGAATTGCGCGTTTAATTGGGAAATACAGGGAGAAAACGTGGAGGCAGTGACAGACTTTGTATTTCTAGGTGCAAAGATTACTGCAGACGCAGACTGCAGCCAGGAAATCAGGAGACGCTTACTTCTTGGGAGGAGAGCAATGACCAATCTTGATAAAATAGTGAAGAGTAGAGACATCACACTGGCAACAAATATCCACATAGTTAAAGCAATGGTATTCCCCGTAGTCACCTACGGATGTGAGAGCTGGACCATAAGGAAGGCTGAGCGAAGGAAGATAGATGCGGTTGAAAATTTGGGGGGGGGGGTTGAAACCTGCCTCCTAGCTCACGCTGAAGCAAAGAGCACAGCAGGGAGCAGAGCAGCCTTCAATAGCCTGCAGCTCCGCCCCT